GACGGATGCAACCCCAAGCCCCTTAGTGAGCCCCGCAGCAAGGAGAAGAGGCGGAAGGACGACCGGATCCACAGAGAGATAACCAGATCCGGAATGCCAATCACTACATGTGTCCCGAAATCAGAGACAAATGAGTCGGATTCGGAGCCCTGTTCTATGAGTGACCTTGATCTTGACGATTATTTCGACTGGGACACTCATAGGGGTTGAGTTTGTCGACAGGGACAAGAGCGCTGGAGACCAGTGAGCGGAGACGTCGGAGGGCGATATTGAGGAGGATCGCATATCTTCTTACACGATATCTTCTTGAGGGTGATTGACTCCTACATGTCAAACGACCTTGGGTCTGAGACAGTTATTGGTCCCCGAAGAGGGGAGGGTCCGGTCCCATACCTCGGAGATGGTTATAGTCATTTGGTCGGGACGGACTTTGCTATGCAGGCTTATCGAAAGCTTCTTTACGGAGATCGCTTTCTCGAGGTTTCCTACATTTCCTCTAGTGGAAGAGGACGTATTGAGATATTGATTGGAGCTTCAGGCGATATCATCCTTGCGGAGGAGCTTTATCTCAGGAGCGTCGCAGACGAGAAGATGGTCAGATGCATGGCCTATATCTGCAAGATTGATCCAGCAGCGCCTCTCGAGATCAGCTATGTGGTTCCAGAGTCTATAGCCACACGAGTTCTCAATGACAAGGAGTCCCAGAAAGCAACACTCACTCACGAGGGGGTACCGCTTATTATCATTGATTGAGGTTCCCTCTTTTTAGTCACTATGATGTATTACAATATTATTATTTATTACTGACTGCAGCCCTCCGATGGCTGCTCCCTGCATATTTTGTGTACTACTCCTCAGTCTCGTTTCTCTGGTCATACTCTTGCAGAGTTTGGTTTCTGGTCTTCTTATTTTGTCAGTGTCAATTGCTCTATGATGCACGTTATTTTTCCTCCTTATTTTATGCAGGTTATACTCAAGGCAGCTTAAGGGACTCCTGAATGATAGGGACTCTGCTGACCTTGAGTCTATCCTTTATACGGGGTCAGGTGCAGGCGATAAACCCGAACGCCTCACTCTAAGCCTTGTCGCCGCTGGCAGGAGGGATAACCCTGACTACTCGGCTGTATGATAAAGTGTGACTGCCTCTGAACACACCTCAATTTTTAATTACTATCTAAATTCCTGCGTGACAGCCTGCCTGTCCTCCAACCCATTGAGCTCGGTCTCATGGAAGGACATCTCACTGGACCCTTGGAGCAGTGGGGGCGCGACAACGGCCCGTTCCGTTAAATCGGTATACCTTTTGGCCTTGGCTTTGAGGGCAGCACACGTGTCTCTATTTCTTGCTTCGGCAATTTCCGAGTTACCCTGGTAGTCGGCATAGGGGAGGCTATTAGTGCGAAGCTGAAAGAGGGTGAACCCCGTGGACTCATGAGGGGTGGCCCGGTGAATTCCGACGATCTGATACACGATCTCAGGCCACGGACGTGTGTCATGTGCCGCTAAATTCGTGCGAAGGGCGGTTTTAATCATACGGTTGGCATTTTCGACCAACCCGTTGGACTGGGAAATGTGGGGCGCCGTATGTCGAAGCGTGATGCCTCTTCGTGCGAGTAATTCCTCTATCTCGCCTTTGAATTCGGACCTCTTGTCGGTCAGAATTTCTTCCGTATCTAGATGGGTATAGAGGAACCGATCGATGTACGGGGTTATTTTTGCGGCCTTGCGGGTCTTGCAGGGGTAGACCTCGATGTACTTAAAAAAATGATCTATTAATACTAAAAGGATATAATATTTACAGCGGTTTGGGCCAGGTGGCACGTCAATATCTGTCGTGTCCATACTGACTCGCTGGAAGGGGCGTTCTACTTCCGTTGGTACTATTGTGTTTGGTCCCCGTATTGGGGCGCGATCAGCTGCACAGACCAGACAGTTGGCGACAACGTATCTGACATCATCTCATATATTGGACCAGAACCATCGGTTCTGGTCTATAGTTGCCTCCGTGACACGTATCACGAAATGAGCGGCCTGCTCTTTGTGAGCAGATCGGGTCCAGTCATATCTTAGGAATGGATGAGGAACTGTCAACCATGACCCCATCCGTCAGTTTTATGCTTTTCCAAATGACCGTTGATCCATCGATAGTCCCGAGATCTCCCGGTAGCCCTACGTCTGTCGTGTTTGGTGAGGTGACCCAATGATAATCCCGCTAATTTAGCTAACAATATTTTATCCGTCCAAACCTCCGCTCGACGGTATTTCTCGTCATATTCAGGCCCGTCCGTTCGGGCGGCCTCGAATCGAACCTCTGTGGGAAGTTTGGTCATTCTACACAGGGGGCATCTTCACTCCTTGCTATTCGTCCGATAGCGAACGCAGGCCCCGTGCGCACGATTGACACACGTGGCACATTCTACCCAATCGACAAACCCGGTTTTGAAAGGATGACAGTCAACCCCATAAACCCGTGCAATACATGTGCAAAAATAGCAAAATTTATCGGGGAGGGTGGCAAAGAGAGTGGAGGAGGTGAGAGGGGCAGAATTAGTAGGAGAAGAGGGGGTCGCAGAGACAAGTGGGGTAGTCATGATGGCAGAGAGAGAGAGATGAGACTGAATTGCAGAGGGGGCATAACAAAAAAAATAAACCCGTGTCACTTACTCCTTTGACAGGATCTCCACTTGGCCGTACCGAGGTCTGTTCTCCTTCTTCGGATCGTTCCACGGAATCACCTCCTCATTCTTCGGGACCTTCTCAGGTCGGTGCAGTCGTGTCAATCCGTCCGCATTCCCGTGCCTTTTGTGTTTCCGTTGACGGATGTCAAAGTCCATGCTCTGCAGCACTGTTGCCCATCGCCCGATCATGCCCGAGTAATCCTTAGATTTCTTCAGGGCTAGCAGAGGCTCATGATCGGTTACCAATGTGAACTTCCGCCCGTAGCAGATTCGTGAGGGGTCCCTCAATCGCCACGAAGCCCTTGATAAACCTTCAGTAGTACGAGGTCAGGCCCAGAAAGGCGCGAACCTGCGTAATAGTCGTAGGCACCAGCACATCTCTGACAGCTACCACCTTCTGCGGCTCCGGTCTAAGTCCCTGGTCTGTTACCACGTGTCCTAGGAAGGAAATGGTGGTAAGGAAAAAATGGCACTTCTCGAACACCACCTTGAAACCAGCATCTCGTAACGCATGCAACGCCCATTCGATGTGCTGCACGTGTCCTTCGTAGAAACTCGAATACACCAAAATGTCATCCATGTACACAATCACGCAGTAGTTACAACAGAAAAAATGTGGCAATTTTTTTGCCACGTTGAACCTATGTTGACACCACATTTCAACTGTTTATAAACCGTTGGCCGGGGGGGGGGCATGTGTTCAACACAAACTGAAGGAAACCAACACTGACCGTATATTGGGGACACTGAAACTTGTGTGTTCAACTGTTGGATCAACTGTTGACAGACAGTTGGTCCAACTGTTGATCCATTGTTGGTAGCTTGTTGAAATCTTGTTGAAGAGTTGTTGAAATGTTGTTGAAACCTTGTTGAAATGTGTTGAGACGTGTTGAAAGTGTGTTGGAATGTGTTGAAATGTTTTGGACCGTGTTGAAACAGGGTATTGGACCGTGCGCAATAGCAGTTTCGGTTACGGGTCATTTGCGTTGTCCGGGGGTAGGTTGTAGCTGTGTTTTCCTCGTTTAAGGACTGAGCACGTTTTGGAGTACGAAGATCACATGGGCGAGCGTTGGGTTTGCGCGCGCCGACCGGGAACGTGATGATTGCAGTAACTGATGGAATTGAGGGATCAGAGACTGATGATCAGAGAGAGAGAGAGAGAGAGAGAGAGAGAGAGAGAGACAGAGACAGACAGAGTCCAAGAGAGAGAAAGAGATGCTGTAGGCTACCGACGAACACATTTCGGGCCTCGTACAAACAAGGTTGACTTTCGGTGTCCGACGAACACATTTCGATTAAATGTTGGGTTGCCCTCGTACAAACAAGGTTGACTACTGCGAGCCGAAAATTGTCCAACACGGTGGTGTCCGACACAATTTGGCACGCAGTAGCCAACCTTCCTTTTCTGTGCCCCTAAGATTGTTGTGCGTGGGGAGCCGAAGTCCACGTCACCCTGCCCTGCAACAAACACTTTTCACCACAGGTTGACAAAATTTTTGGACTTATTCTCTCACGTGTACGGAGCAAACGTGGGAGACCGTCGATTAAATGCTGGGCTCCCCTCGTACGAACAAGGTTGACTACTGTGGGCCGCAAATTGTCCAACACGGCAGGGTCCGTCACATTTTGGCACGCAGTAGCCAACCTTCCTTTTCTGTGCCCCTAAGATTGCTGTGTCCCATTCTATATAAGGCGATTTGGTGTGGGGAGCCTCAGTCCACGTCACCCTGCCCTGCAACAAACAAGTTTCACCACAGCTTGACAAAACACATTGTCGTGTCATGTTACCATTACAGAGTCAGCCGCACACACCACTCAATCGCACAAAGATGAGCATTACAAATGTTTGTACAATTGTGTATCAAAAATAACAGAAGTTGTGTAGTTATCAGATTGTATGGAGCATACGGCTCGCAATCCTCAGGCGGTGCACGTGCGAGCAAGCACTCGCTCTCTCTCTCTCTTCTGCAAAACTGAAGGTCTTCATATCTCTCTCTCTCTCTCTATCTATCTATCTATCTATCTATCTATCTATCTATCTATCTATCTATCTATCTATCTATCTATCCTGCACCGGCTGTGGCCTTCGATTTTGCATCTCCTGGTTCGAAACGTCTAGAAAAAGAACCTTTCGTTCCACCGTTTGGTCATTGCCCCGCATCCTCCCTTCCATGTCGAAATGTCGCCAAATTGTCCCTCGTTGTTCAGGGTGCGGCGCACAGACTGTCGGTGCGCCTGTCCCCGTCTTCGGTTGCTGTACTCTGAGGGAGAATGAACTCGATGTCGTAATCGTCATCCGTTATTGTGGTGCTTGGAGGCCCAGGCCTGTGGACAGACGGCGTGCCAGAGCGAAAGAGCGCTGCTGCCTTCTCAACCACGGATACGGAACGGTCCAGTTTGAAAACGGAAAAACTCTTTATCGTGTCTCGGCTACGGAGAGATGAGACGATTGCCTGCTTTATAGATATCAATTTTTCTATCTGCTCCGCAGCTCGTGTCGTCTTCGTTGTCTGTTCTATCTCACATTGAATGACCATCTCCGCAAAAGCCAGTTGCTGCAGGGCGACGCCCAGGTTCCGGCCTTCCTTCCTCATCTGAAAAACTTTTAAGAGTGTCGTCTTGAAGGCGGGGGCGCCCCACGGATCGTCGCCGCTCCGTCTCCACGTCTTGTTCTCCTTCATCTCGGTGCGCATCTTGTTGCGAGCGGGGAGGTGGTGGTCCGTTTGCTGCGATCCGACGAGCGGAATCCCTTTTTCAGCCCAAAACCAATGTTTCAGCTGCCATGTAATCTCTCCGCAGATCGTCGTCATCATTCTGTTGCATTCCCCTATGACAGCTCGAATCCCGCACTCTGTTATGTGAGACCGCAGCCCTTCCTCTGCTGTCTCCCCTGCCAGTTTCACCGTCGCTTGCACCGCCGCGAAAAACGCGTCCTCTGTCGGGTACAGAGTTGCGTCGTTTGCCGCAGAGAACGCAAAGGCTTTGGCGACGGAACGCAACAGCTTGCCCTTCATTTTCTTCGTGAATGCGGCGCCCTCGTCCTTCGGTCCTTGCACGGCTCCGCCGCTTGCGCGCACTTTCGTTCGTGACGTTGCGATCGGTGGGAAACAGAAGACACAACGCACAGGAGAGTGTTAACAACTCAGCGCCTTGTTTTGAATACAACACTCGCAAAATTGAAGATTCGGCTATCAGTTGTGAGTTTACAAAGACACTTCTCCGTGCGTAAAAGTGTGCACCGCGTGGGGGCACGGGATTATGTGATAGGAGTGGGAGGGGAGTCAGTGCGACGCGGGGTTTTTTACCTTTACCGGCGGCGCTGACGTGCTGTACGATTTGTCAGTCACCGACACGCTCCTCGGTGTCGCTGCCATTGCGTGCCTGCCGTTCTCCTTCTCTGCGCAGCGTCCTCGAAGGAAATGGTGAACCACCTCTTTCCGAAGCGGCGCTCTGGTCTTCGCCGGTTCTCTCGCTGGCCGACTTGTCGTCGCTGTCGTCGTCCTCATCGGTGTCTTGCGATTGTCTGCGGGAAGAATCGCTGTTGTCTCCCTCGTTTCCTGGCTCCTCGTCCTCCGCACCATCTGACTTCTCTGGCGCGGAACGATCGTGTTCCTCCTCTTCTTCCACTTGGGGTCCGCTGTGCCTGTTGTCAGACCCTCTAATATCGATTGTCTCCACTGTTTTGTCGTCTTTGTAGGATATTCTCTTCTTTGTTCTGCGATGCGTAGTCGCGCTTCTATCATCCCGCGATCTTTTTTTCCGGGGCCCTTGGCGGACGGTTCTCGGCGCCGCTTCCGCGCTTTCCCCGGACGGGGGTCGAGGGGGGCGACTCGTTACGTTCTTTCAGCGTTGAAATCTTCCGTGCACTCGAAGGGACTGTAACTTTCGATTCGGATTTGCGGCTGCGCTTGTGCTCCGTTTTCGCAGAGGGGCCAGCACCGCTTCTGCGATGCTATTTCGACTGCTTCTTTTCGGCCTTCGATTTCTTCCGGCACTTGTCCTTCTTTCCCGCGGCTTTCAAAGACCTGCACAGATCCTCGTATATTGGCCTTGGAGCCATCACCCCTTTTTTCCCACATGCATCAAAGTGGAATAAGAACCACAAGTGCGTCAGTGATGTTGTTTGTCACAGAGAGAGAGAGAGAGAGAGAGAGAGAGAGAGAGAGAGAGAGAGAGAGAGAGATTTGAAATTGTGAAGTCATGCAAGTGAGCAACCTCTTTGTGCGTCAGAGTGACTGCATTTGTATTGTCAGGTGGCAGGAGATCGCATAATCTGGGAACAAAAAAAAATTCTAGAAAAAAAACCATCGGAATAGTTGCCTCGTCCATCATTGCGATAAGGTTGGCTACTGCGGGCCAATCATGTCTGCACATCCCACATTTCATGTCATTTTGGCCCGCAGTAGTCAACTTTCCTCGCATCGCGTTCGGTGACCTGGACAACATCTCATTCCATGGAACTGTTGCTCTCTCTTCTGTTTATTATGCTTTGCAACGCTGTGGCTACTTGTGAAGCCGCTAAAGTGTCGTTGCCTTTTGTGACTGCAGCACAGGCAGCAAGCCGGTCCACCATCGACTCGCGAAATTGTCGAACAGTTCTTTCGTTCACCGTTGTAGTTTTGATAACTTTCAGTACGTCCTTGGCCGTCAGATCCTTTGTCGCGGTTCTTCCAAGAAATTGTATTACGGTGGTAGCAATACAACACACATAAACACCACAGTCTGTGTGATTGTTTTGTTGCGGGCATTCCGCATGCACAAGTTTACTTCCTGCCAGATCCCTGCATGTCACCCACGAAAAATGAACCTTTTTCGGTGTCAAAGCCTGCAAATTCGATGCCTCGTGAAGGTACTCGTGCCACAAAAGTGTTCGCAACGCCGTCCATTCGTCTCGGTTTTTTTCTCTCATTGAGTCAACGACGATAGCAATGGGAGGCTCGGATATGCGGCTGTCCGCAGTGACCTCCAAGAAGAACCTCGCATTCAGCAACAGAAGAAGAATCCAGTGTTTGTTACGGTTCACTGGTATCACAGTGAACGGCGCGCGTCACAGTTCGTTGCACAGTCGATGCAATTTCTGTGGTCTCTTCTTAATTGCGTCCTCCCATTTTTTTTTCGTCTATTTCTCAAAGTTTTGATTGGCGACGACCTCGGGGTGCCAGAAAGTTGTGCAGACGTGAACATAAGACCTGTCCTGGCCCCGCCCAACCTCTTCATATACAGACTGCAAATAAATGTCAATAATATTGTCGTTCAGCGATCCGTCGTCCGACAACCGTTCAATGTCGGATTTTAATACGGGTATGGCGTGTTGCGGAGATTTTCATGTAAAAGGGAACAATTCGACCACGTCAGTGATGTCGGTCTGCTCATCTCTCGCTCTTGTCTTGTCCCCTGCTTTCCGTTTTCCCATACAATAGGAAGACTGTTCCCCGCAGGACTGGGGCCACTCTGCTGCACCCTCAGTCAGTAAATCGTACGTTTTCGCGCACCATGGGTCTGATAACATGTCCTGCCAACTCTGTGCTGACCTCTGGCTGCTCGATGGCAACAATGGTTTTTCCTCCCTGGCACCATTACCTGTTTCGGTGCGCTGGTATGACCCCTTCGCAGCGGCCGACCAATTACTACTGTTGTGCGACTCTGCCATCGTTGATCCCCTTCTCTTACCTGCACCCTGTTACTCTGTGTTCCGTGTCGCTTCTCCCCCTTCGCCCCCTCCCCGCTTTGCGGCGTCGCAACTTTGTGTTCATAATCACACAAGTAGGGAGAGGCAGAAGACACAGAGGATTAGTTATGTTTTTTAGCAACGGCGAATGGTTTTTGTCGAGATGCTATAATTTGTTTTTTTTTATTTGTTTATTTTCCCTTTGCAAATAGGTGGGGACGAGAGAGTTCGTGCCAGAGAGAGAGAGAGAGAGAGAGAGAGAGAGAGAGAGAGAGAGAGGTTGGCTACTGCATGCCAAAACTGAATCAAATGTCACTGTTGACGACGTGAATGTCACGCAGTAGTCAACTTTTGGGGACACTTTCGTTTCGCATGAGGTTTTGGTTCTCCTTCGTAGGTATGTCAGCGTTAGACATCATAGTTGTTTACAGCTACTAGAAAGATTTACTTCGGCCGAGAACGACATTACCATCTTGTCGCGAGAAGAAATAGACAAACTTACAAATTTTCTCGTAATTGAAATGAGTCTCTCTCTCTCTTTCTCTCTCTCTCTCTCTCTCTCTGCCTCTCTCTCTCTCAAACTTCAAATTTATTCCTTCTACAATATGTACTTGTTTAAAAAAAAACAGTCCTCACGGTGGCGCGCATGCATTTTCGATCCCCATTGTGGTTTACAGAAGCGCGGAACAATGTGAACGGTGTCCACGATAGTGTCGGTTGAAACGACGCTGCTGTGCTGATGTCCATTCGCCTTCTCCCATTTCAATTCCTTGCAACMTGTCACGTGTTYSYGTTCACTRTCAACCTTTGTGTACCACTGCACAAAAGCGCACTTGTGTTCCACATTACCGCCGTCTGTGGGTGCATCGACGACGAAAAACATGGCCACTGATGCGAACCACGTACATTCGTTGGCTGCTCTTATTGTGACGTCGTTGTGCACTGGTCTCCTGTGGAACCGCGGCGACGCTCGTGCAGTTTGAACAAGTGTGCCCCTGTTTGTTCCGTCCTGCATGCAAGCGATGGCGAGATGTGTTCGTGTGTGTATAGCGAGATCATCAGGAGGAGGTTGACAACCATTCTCCGCCATGTACGTCGTAATCGCTGCTCGAAAATCGATTATGAAAGGGAACTCTTCAAGTATCTTACACGCATGACTGTCAATGCCTTCCACCTCGCATATCTGGTCCTGATCGATGTCGAACCAGCGCAGTTGAAGGATTGACGTATCGCGTAGTGCCAGGGTGTTCATCCCCGTTGCCATACAGTCCGTCACAGAAGACATATTCTCGACGGCCCTCTTCCTCCTTTTCCTCACAAATCCGGTCTCCTCCTGCAACGCTAGTGACCGGCGCACGTGGTTGACCATCTGGGTTGACGCTTTCCTTTTGTTCGATGACATGTACGGTTGTTTGCAGAATCTCCTGTGGTGATGCTCCCAAACGTCTGCAGCGAATGTGTCGGCCACACCTGATCGCTCAATACTCGTTCTCATATGCATAAGATCATGCAACTTCGGGAGTTTCCAATTTGATGGTTGGTATCTTCCCAATTTCGCTTTGATGGTCGTTACGAAGTCCGTCATCAACGCGTCACATTCGTCGAGGGAAGCTCGAGTGTGTGCTGTGCGCCAAAACAACCGTACGTACATTTGCATCAGCTTAACAAAACAAGCGGTAATGCCCTTGCCTGTCGAGCGCGGGATTATATTAAAAATGAGGAACACGCACACTGTCATTACAGACCGGTTTTGCTTCGCCTCGAAGCGTCCCTCTCGAGAAAAAAAATCGCTGCCTGTGGCCATGGGCAGCACAAGTTGGGGATATGTTTGCGTACATCTCTCACTAACGCATTGCAATCTCGCATCGAGTTCCTTCAGGATCTCTATTTGCGGTGTGTTCGGCAACTTCTCAAAGGCTGCCGCCCTGAATGCGTCGATCATGTGCAGGAATATGCCATGTTCGATCGTGTGCATACGGTCTAGTTGCAATGCGAGGTGGTAGTCTAGCTGAGGATCATCGCCACTCGGCCCCCTGTAGAACCCCCAAAGGCCATTCTGTTCAACATGCCTATGCATGTCCAACTCCGCCATTCGCCCTTCCGCCGCACGGCGCACGTCATCGTCGTCCGCCGTGAACACAGTTGCTGCGAGTTGAGTTTCCAGCGTCTGGGATCTCCTGCTGTCCGTGAAATCGGCCACGACATCGAGGTYCGTTTTCGACACRGTGCATGTAGGGCATACACCAAACTTCACATTCGCCAGCGCACATCGCTCTGGGTAGTCCTGTATATAGTTGAGGAGGAAAGGGTGGACAGYCACGTCCCCGAATCGYGTCGACGGTATCGTGATGCCGTCGTGCGATGCCTCCTTCGCAGCTTGCAAGACCGTTGAAAGGGCCTTGTGGAAGATGACGGTCTTTCGCTTCCTGAATGCGGTGGACTGTAGACCCCATCCTTTGTCACGGGGTCGATGATGAAGCACGGGAAGATAGGCCAACAAAGTGCCTTCCGACGCGTGGTCGGCTAGCGACATCATAAGATGGTATGCCGTCTGTTTCTGACGACCGTCTGTGTGTGTCTTGTCGGAGTACAGTGAGAGAGGGATTACATATCGTGAATATCCATTCTCGTCGACACCTTTGTGCGCTCGAATGATTGACTGCATGTGATAACTGAGCGCCCTGCTGCGCGGACCGGATACACTGTTGTCCTCCGACAGCGGGGACACCTCGAGGGAATGAACCGTCTCGCATTTCTGCAACGCGACGTGCATTATCGATAAGAATGCAGTTCGCCAATCGCGGTGCCACAAGACGGCGTGTGCTTCTCGAGGCCAGTCGTCACTACGCAGATCCAACTCCTTCCACCCAGCGGCCTCTGCTAGACTGCCCGCCCATGCGAAGCACTCTTGACTGTTGAGGTACGCAATGTCCATCGCGCTGAATCTCGGGTCTTTGAGAAGTGACAAGAGAGCATCAACGTCCGTATGTGACATACCGACGCCGCCCCTGGCGGAGAAAATAAGCACTGCTAGCCTGCGCGAGCTGTCAAAAGGCTCGACGGGTTGCGCTGCCGGCTCTGCGTTATCACCGGCTGCCCCATTCGCGTCGTCCTCCGCCCCCACGTCCTCGCTCTCATCACCAGCGAGATTGGCTGCGCCTATGTTGGATGGTCCCGGGTCGTGGGCAGCATCATTCTCCTGCCTTTGCGCTCCCTCATCTGCCACGGCGGGGCATGCCCTCGCACGATGCGAGTTTAAAGTCTGTAAGGACATGAAAGGTCTGCCGCAGTCGCACACCCGTGGACCGCTGTCCATTTCCTGTGCACGCAGTGCATTCCAAAGACAAACAGAGCAAAGCGGACAGTGCTTCGTTAGCATTTTAGACATATGGTCGAGGCATGTGCACTACATAATGCTGACCATGTTTTCTTATGCAGTGTGAGTATTGCACGTTGTGGAAAATGCGTCTAAGCATGTGTTTTCCAAGTACCCGTCGTAATCAGTGAGATTGCCCATACGAGCCAAGCTCTGACTCACTTTCCCGGACGTGTACACTACCTTCAAGATAGAGACTTGAGATCGGGCGAGCAGGAAAAAAAA